CATTTCAAAACGCCTCAAAGCCATGGGAATGATTCAGAAGCAAGGAAATTGGGTGCCGTACGAATTGAAGCCGAGAGATATTGAACGGCGTTTGTTTGCTTGTGAACAGCTGCTTGAAAGGCAAAGACGGAAGGGATTTCTGTATCGCATTGTGACTGGGAACGAAAAATTCATTACGATAATCCCAAGCGCAGAAAATCATGAGGAGTTCCCGGTCATGCTTCCACGTCGACGGCCAAACCGAATATTCACGGCTCCAAGGTCATGCTCTGTATTTGGTGGGACCAGCTCGGCGTAATGTATTATGAACTGTTAAAACCGACTGAAACAATCACAGGCGATCGGTATCGAACGCAATTGATGCGTTTGAACCGAGCATTGAAAGACAAACGGCCGCAATACAACGAGAGACACGATAAAGTGATTTTGCAGCATGACAATGCTCGACCCTATGTTGCGAAAGTGGTCAAGACATACTTGGAAACGTTGAAATGGGAAGTCCTACCCCACTCGCCGTATTCTTCAGACGTTGCTCCCTCTGACTATCACTTGTTTCGATCAATGGCACACGGCCAGCACTTCCGGTCTCATGAAGAAGTAAAAAATTGGATCGATTCGTGGATAGCCTCAAAAGATGACCAGTTTTTTCGACGCGGGATTCGTATGCTACCCGAAAGATGGTAGTGGCCAACGATGGATAACTTTGAATCATAAATGTATAACCAGTTTTTTATAATAAAGCCTCGAATTTCGGAAAAAAAACGGCGGAAGTTGTATACCTAATAGTAAGAAATCATTACAACGATTTCTATGAAACCATCATTTTTAGTCATTTAACATCATTAATATAAATATATTATATCTAGTATTGACATTAAAATATTGTAACATGTCTTTTGTTACTTTGGTTCCCAGATAGCAAAGCGTGTCTCAGCAAAATCACACAAATCTGTGATTTATGAAATTGGCAACTTGCTATAAATTTCAACGATTTCGAATATACCAACATTGTAGCAACATACAGACAACAATGTGTATATGTAATGTCAGCAATTTAAGCAAGATAGCTGCAACAATATTATTTTATCGGCAATATGACAACATTATATAATGCTGCATGTTATTATGACAACATGATGGCAATAGTATGAATTTTGATGATAACGATTTTGCTGGCAAATTGCTGGCAAGTTGTTACTCAAAGTTATCATATCGTGAAGGCATAAAGTTGCCAATAAATGAGGACTCAATTGCTGAAATTCTGATAGCAATACATACTTAGCAAGCAACATATCAGCAACAAAACAGACACGTTGCTATCTAAAAACCTTTTATTGTTATATCTTCGAAGATATCAAAGTTTGCGAATTATCGCCACATTTTCATTCATTGCTTTAATTGGTATTAATGCCTACTTGGCATTAGCAATGGATGAAAACACGATACCACAAACCTTCTGGTATCTTTGAAGATAATATCCGTGAAAAACTTTATTGTTATATATTATATAACTAATAAAGAATAAATTCTTAATTAAAATTCATATATTATTATAAAATTATATATAAGAAATAAAGGTCTGAATCGAGTGGTACTAAAGTTAATAAAAAGTGATTCAGTTGCATACAATATTAGTATGAAAACAAAGTAACTTAAAAACTTGATGTAAAAAGTCGTTTCGGAACAGGTCCTTCTTCAGCAGTTCATAACAAATGTTACATATAGATGGTAATATAGATGGATTTTACAGTCCGCGAGACATAGTATGGTATTGTTGTAAGGAATTGATCCTCCTGTTTTTATGTGAATTGTGTAAACTGAGAAAACAGGAGAGAAAACTGAGAAAACATCTTATACATTCGTCTGATACTGTTCAGCGCAAGTGTTATAATTGTAAAAGGACCTGTGAGTTCCGAAACATACGACTTTTTACATCAAGTTTTTAAGTTATTTTGTTTTCATACTAACATTATATGTAATTGAATCTTTTTATTACCGCTTTAGTACCGCTCGATTCAGACTTTATTTCCTTTATTTCCTTTATTATACTTTGCATTATAAAAAAACGAGCGAAATTTAATTATAAAATTATATATTTTATTTAAAGCAAAAACCATTCAAAGAACAATTTTCGTAGAAAACGTTTCTACGAATTCTACATATTATTAAATACCTTATTTCCGTATTAGGATCTGGTTTTCTAATAGTTAGAGCAACCACCGATCCACCAGGTCGATGCAATAATTGAGCGGTTTGTCTCAAGTCTCCGGGATCCAGTTTTTGTCCATCTATTGCAAGCAGTCTATCCCCTGATGCTAAACTGCCAGTTCGATAAGCGAGTGATCCTCGGCGGACTTCTGTGATCATTAGATCCTCATTTACTGTAAGACCTAGATCAGGCTGGCCGCCTAATGGTCTAGCTACTCTCACCGTAAAGATTCCGGAACTTGGCACTATCGATCCACCCACTTTGTATTCTATCACTAACTCGATCTAATCATGTCAACATACGAAAATAATAAAAAAATTTTGGTATTTATTTTTGATGAAAAAAAATTATAAGAAAGCTCGAAGCAAAATGAATGTTTACCATTTGCGACGTCTCTAATATGTTGATTACTTCAGACGGTTGCAAATCGCGTAACATTCTTCGATTGATTGCGATAGCCTTATCGCCAGGTAAAAGAATGCCGCTTCGTTCTGCTGGACCGCCAGCTTCCAATAAACTTACTATATAATTCATGCGATCTTCGGTCAATTTAAGCACAAGTCCAAAACCTCGATGATCTGGTCGAAGAATAACGGTTAGATTCTCTTTCATTTGTAGAATTTGATTTGAGTTTTGTTGAGTCAACGACTGTGTCTTTCTTTTGACTGTCCTTGTGCTCGGGAGTCGTGGTAATATCTGCAATCTGGCAATACGAGAACTTTCGGAATTTCTAAGCAGCTTAGCGGCAGTTACTGCATCCTGAACAGGTGTATCATTTACAGCTAACAGCCGATCACCTGCCTGTAACGCACCACATCGATCCGCTGTGCTCGCCGGACGAAGACTATCGATGTAGACTCCATTTGATGTCTCTCTTACGGTTAAACCAAGCTCTCCTGAATATTTCCAATTTATATCTCAATTTAATCTAATACCAATTCAAAAGCTAAATTTGTTCTTTCTTTAATTTACTTTTACAAAAATGTTTATGTCTATGGGTAATACTCACGAAGTAATAAATAAAGAGATTCAACTTGATAGCGCGCGAACCGAAAAAATGGAACCGGTTGTGCGTTGAATTGAAAAACAGCATCTCCGCTGAGAGGCAAAACCTACTAATTTGGACATATTTAAAAAGCAGACAGTTGTATCAGGGCTGCATTTCACGCAAGACGATCATTTATTCTTGTTTAATATTTGGTGAATAATAAAGATAATGCAACATGCGCATGTGTGAAACGGAATACAGCCTAGTTGTACACAAAGACTGCGTTTCGTTTCACGCATGATGCGATGAATAACAAGGATAAATAATGCAGCATGCGCATCATGTGTAAAACGGAACGCAGCCAAAGTAAACTCTTATGAGAGACATCAACAGGCCTATTCTATAACTGCTCTTAACTCAAGTTTCGTTATTATTATAATATTGTTGCGCAACTTTTTTACCATAATAAAAGAGTTATGCATCGACGTTATATGGTAACGATATTTGCGTCAAGAATTACAGAATAAGTCCGCAGATACTAATAAAACGTGATGTAAAGCTAACAAATAAATTATCTGTTTTTTGTTCTTGCACTAGAACTCTCTTTCTCGTTTTCGACAAACATATCCAGTAAATGAGAATGGATTGAAATGAAATGAAATGGATTCAGATTCTCAGAAATATTGATTCACGAATATTAAAATGAATGCTTTTCAATTCTGAATGCATTTTTATTCATTTACAGGAATTTCATGGAGCATATCTCTATGCCTTTCAATTTAAAAATAATATTAGCTTTTTCTGTGTGAGTACTGTTCAATTCAAAATTTTGAATAGGAATGCAATTTTTCCAATCATTCAATTCAACTGAACCTAATTAAATCCAATTGAATCCAATTAAATCCAAAAAAAGTATTCGCTATTTAAAATACGCATTCAGATAGAAAAAAATTTCAAT